CCTGGAGCTTCCATCCCCAGATTAAGATGTCTATGTCTGCATAGACAGAGGCAGCACCGGTTAAGCCCAGGCTGCTGGAATCCAGGGAGGTTTTATGTGAGGCTGTCTTGGAGTGAGGTGCGTTGACATGCTCATGGGGTGTTGAGAAGCATCCCTCATTCTATACACAGAGCCTGGTAAGTGGGGTCAAGAACTTGGAGCCCAGCCTTGTATGGATCTTGGGGGTCCAGGCATGATTTGGAGAGTAGACATTAGTGGCAGGATGGATCCAAAGAACTGCTGATTTTGTTTTCCACAAACACTCTGGGTTGAGTCTATACTGGTATTTAGATGGAAATATGGACTCTTGTCTACCTCCTTGATATTTGCTGACATGCAGGCAGATGTCTTGTTAGACTGAATGCTTATTCTTTCCCTTTGCCTTCATTTCTATGAACCCAAGAAAGTCAGGCCTCTAGACAGCAGGAAGTCAACTATATTGATGTTCAACCCATATTGACCTTCCATAAAAGCTGTTGGAAGCAGCCAGGCATGGGCATCTGACCTTGATCATGGGGCTGGTACCAGAACAACCCGTCTGGCATGGGTTGGGAGAACCTTCAGCTCACCTTCTGAGGCCTGGCCATCCACAACAGTGAATGGGGGAGTTCTCTGTTCTGAACTCCTGGGCAGAAGAGCTGAGCATTAACTTCAAGAAAGAAGGAGCATCCAGTTTTGAGAGCTCTTAGGATTTGGAATCAGAAAGATAGGAATTCAAATTCTAGCCTTCCCTCTTTGTAGCTGTGTGACTTTAGGTAAGTCAACTTACCTTCTCTCAGCCCATTTGTCAATAACATTAGTTTCAACTCAAATATTGTTTCCTTTGCAGAATGTGCTCATTCAACAACTATTTATTGAATGAGCTCTGTTCTGGATCCTTTAGCTGTGCTAACCGGTTGTGAAAATTAAATAAGCAATACAAATGACAGTGTCCTGCAAACTCTCATTTGATTGTTAAGGTGAACAAGGCTCCAGATCATGCCTGGTCATCGTGAAAATATATGAGAGTTTTATTGGAAACAAAAAGGCAAATAATGCCGGCATCTTTCCCCTGGTCACTCAGTGTCTCCCATACTTGAATGAGTCATGGCTAGCTCCCCCAAGCTCTGCCTGTCTGATTGGCAGGGCAGGGGTTGGGGAGCTTGGGTGGGTGGAAATCTCTTTTCCAAAAAGGTCTTAGGGGTAAAGAGTTTGTCAAAAGCTCATGATACAAGGGGACCACAACCAGAATCTCTAGCCACCAAGGAACTCCTGGTTAGAGATTCCAAAAACCCAGGGATTTGCATATTTTAAAAGATGTGTCAATAACAATGGGACCATCAGGGCATCTTGAAAGGAAAGATGAGTTTGGGGGCAAGATTGTGTGTGTGTGTGTGTGTCTATAACACACCCTGAAATGTCTATTACAGTGTTTGAGGGGAAAGTGTAGAATGCAAAGTGCAAAACAGGTACTTTGGACTTAGATCCTTATTTTGTTCAAATCTTGGCTCTGTTACTTCCTTGCTGGGTAATGCTGGATAAGTCACTATGCTGCTCTGAACCTCTGTCTTCTCATCAAAAAAACCCATGGAAATAAAATACCTACAGGCACTGTTTTTTCTATTGTGATAAAATACGCATAATAAAATTTACCGTTTTAAGCTTCCCAAGGATGCTATTCTTGGCATTAAGTGTATTCACATTGTTGTGCAACGATCTCTACCATCCAGCTCCAGAGCTTGAAGATTAGAGTTAAGCATGTAAGGCACTTAGCCAGATGCCTTCTCCACAGTCAGCCCTCAGTTGGCGTCAGCTCCTTTCAGGGTGCGGATATGTGAGGGGACAGAGCAAGACCGGGTTCATTTGGCCCCTTAAATAGCCCTGGACAGGAATCTGCAGTAAAAGCTGTTCTACCAGCTGGGATACTTGGTGATTGGGGGGATTGCTTGCCTATAGGTTGGCAGAAAGTTGTAAATATTCACTGTTTTCTGTATGGAAAAGTGGAAATAGTGAGATATGCGTAGAATTTATGCTGGGTCTGAGCTTAATACAATATCAGAGTAAACATCTGTAAGAGGAATTGCCGGGCAAAGTCTATGCAGGTCACAGTTATCCTGTCCCTAAGCCAGAGGTTCTCAGAGGGGGTGATTCTGCCTCGTCGGGACCTTTGGCCATGTGTGCAGCTATTTTTGCTTTTCATGACTAGGAATGGGGTATTGCTACTGGCATCTAGTAGGTTGAGCCCAAGGATGCTGCTAAACTTCATACAATGTATAGGACAGCTCCCTACAACAAAGAATTATCTGTCCCCAAATAATGCCAAGGTGAAAAACCCTGTTGTGAGTCAATGAAGTTGGGGATGAATGGATTTTTAAGGACTCTGCTAAGGGATCTCAGAACCCAGAGAAGGGGAAGTTGGGTTTCTACTCAATAAGGACAAGGGCATCACAGAGCAGCACTAAGGAGGATGGGCTGGACGCACCAGGCTTCTCCATGGAAGGAGTCACAGAGGTGAAGAATAATAACAAGGTTAAACACTGGTGAGAATGTCCTATGTGCCTGGCAATGTGCTAAGCACAGATTATCCAGCCAGAAATCTTTAATCATTTTCACCTCTAGAGAATTAGAAATATTTACAATTTATTGAGAACTTGCCACATGGCGGACACTAGGCTCTTAACATTCATCCTTTGATTTAATCTTCAGAGCAATGCCTGTGACCCAGATTACTGCCACCCATTTTATGGATGAAGAAACTATGGTTGAGTGGATGCCCAAGGCCATGCTGCTACAGTGTATTTGAGCTGGGATCCAAGCTCCTGGTTACACGCTTCCAACCACAAATCCATACAACTCATCTGTTCTATTTCTTCTGGCTGGAACAACTTTCTCTCCTCTAGCTGCCTGGAAAACTCCTACCTGGCCTTCAAAACTCAGATCCAATGCCTCTTCCTCTGTGAAGCCTTCTCTGATCCCACTCCAGACAGTTTCATCTGCTTGGTACCCAGAGCATCATGCATATGTCTTTACTACATTGCTCATCAATCTATTCTGAAATGATATGAACAATACTCATTTCCCCCCTCAAACTCTAAATTCTATTATCACAGAGCTAAGTTTTCTTACTCCTTTACATCATTGACTGACACTGGAAAATGCTGCCAATGAAGCAGCCCATTCCATTTTTGCTTGGATTTCACTGTTAGAAAGTTCTTTGTTAGGGTGAACCACACAGCTAGCCTCACTAACATCCACCTCCTGGGAGGAGGAAGCAGTTGGTTCTACCATCTTCCTCTCATAGAAGCTCTTCAGATGCTGAGGACACCTGTCACCTGTCCCAAGGGGCGTCCCTGATCATGTCCTGTGTTGTCCCCAGCAATTTCCCATAGAACTTCCTACTCTCTTCCCTCTAAACACAAAGAGCTTTTCCCTTTAACTCCTTATTTGTCATTGGTATCATGAAGGAGACTATGGGGTCCATGGAAGCTGGGACATTCCCTGGGTGAGTCTCCTCTGAATGTCTTATGTCCAGCCCAGCATGTGACTCATTTTGTTGAATATGTGGGTGAATGGTTGGTTGAGGTCTTGAATGTGATAGAAAAATCAGGATGGTGAATAATTAAAGATAGGTTTAAGGGCCATCTGAGTGAGAATGGCAGCCTTAGGGCAAAAATTTCCAGTGACACCCTCAATAGAATCTTCTTTAAATGTCCAGTCTTGCTGCTTCACTAACTACTCACAGTTGGGAATGGACATTATTTCTGTCCTGCGTTGTCCATTGTTGGAGTAGTGGGTGGTTCACGGTATTTCAGGGCAATCTGGGTTTGTCTGGGGGCTTAGAGTTTGCCAAGGGAGTTGAATATTCCTGATTTAAGTTTGCAGCTCCTTTAGTCTGTGATCGTCTTTCTTTCTTTCTTTCTTTCTTTTTTTTTTTTTGAAGATTGGCACCTGAGCTAACATCTGTTGGTAATCTTCTTTTGTTTCTCTTCTCCCCAAAGCCCCCCAGTACATAGTTGTATATTCTAGTTGTAGGGCCTTCTGGCTCTGCTACATGGGACACTGCCTCAGCATGGCTTGATGAGTGGTGCTAGGTCCGCGCACAAGGTCCAAACTGGTGAAACCCTGGGCCACTGAAGAAGAGCGCGTGAGCTTAACCACTCAGCCATGGGGCTGACCACTGTGGCCATCTTTCTTCTCCACCTCATTCACTCCGGCAGTATTTACAGAGACATTCTTCTAGGCCTAGTGTCTTACCTTAGTCCTTGAAACTGAGTCAAACTACCCACGCCACTACCTTCCCATCCAATGCAACAAAGTCACCAGTAATATCTGAACTCTTTGACAGCTGTCCCCCCAACTAACTCTAGTCCATTTGATTCCAAACCTGCTGCCACCCAGGTGCCTATGCCTCACACTCCCTAGACTCACAGTCTGAATTGACAGATTGACTCCAGTTCTGGCACATCATAAATCTCTCTTTGCTCCAGATTTTCCTCCAGGCATTTGGACTCAGGCCCTCCTCTCTCTTCCCTTAATTGGTTTGTTGCTTCAGCTCCATCATCACCTATTTCTCCTCCCAGTCTGTTTGGAGTCTCACCTCTGCTTTGGACCTAGACCATTGGGATGATAGATATTGAAACGTTCTACTGGGGCTGTGCTCCTGTCTTTGACTTGGACTTCAAAATTAGGACTACAAGAGTCAGTGGCTATGTGTTGACTGGGGTGTGGCCAAGAATCTTGTTCAGAGATGCAAGTCTCTGCTCTCCCATCCCATGCTCATGACAGGCATTGCTAACTGATTGTGGCTTTTCCCCTACTGATTCTAGCTGTGACCTCACAATTCTTCCCAAGATAGCACTCTAGACAGCCAGTACCAATCAATGGCCATTGCCATGTGGGGTGAAACTTATCTACCATCCCCACTAAGACTTCTTGATATAGATCTCCTGTTCTTCCTGTAGCGAAGGTATGTTATGTAAAGCATGGGGCATGTGAATCACTCAGTAGCCTCTGACTTCATTCTGGTGGGCCTCTTCAGTCACTCAGGGTCACATCAGCTTCTCTTCTTCCTGGTGGCTGCCATGTTTCTCATGGGGCTTCTGGGCAACACTGTTCTGCTATTCCTGATCCACGTGGACTACCGGCTCCACACACCCATGTACTTTCTGCTCAGTCAGCTCTCACTGTTTGATATTGGCTTCCCTCTGGTCACCATCCCCAAGATGGCATCAGACTTCCTGCAGGGAGAAAGTTTCATCTCCTTCGAGGGTTGTGCAGCTCAAATATTCTTCCTGACGCTCATGGGTGTGGCTGAGGGAATCTTGTTGACCCTAATGTCCTATGACCGTTATGTCGCTGTGTGCCATCCCCTGCAGTATCCTTTGCTCATGAGGCGCCAGGTGTGCCTGCTCATGGTGGGCTCCTCCTGGCTGGCGGGTATGCTCAATGCCTCCATCCAGACCTCCATTACTCTGCACTTCGCCTACTGTGCCTCCCGCATCGTGGACCACTTCTTCTGTGAGGTGCCAGCCCTGCTGAAGCTCTCTTGTGCAGACACCTCTGCTTGTGAGTTGGCGCTGTCCACCTCGGGGGTGCTGATCCTTGTGCTCCCCCTTTCCCTCTTTGCCACTTCCTACGGCTACGTGTTGGGGGCCATTCTACGCATGCGCTCAGAGGAGGCCCGAAACAAGGCCTTCACTACCTGCTCCTCACACATCACAGTAGTGGGACTCTTTTATGGAGCAGCCGTGTTCATGTACATGGTACCGGGTGCCTACCACAACCCACACAAGACAATGTGCTCTCCCTTTTCTACAGCCTTGTCACTCCCACACTCAACCCGCTCATCTACAGTCTGAGGAATCGGGAAGTGAGGATGGCTTTGGTCAAAGTGCTCAGCAGTGCTGGACTCAGGTAAAAGTGATGAGCACACAGCGGGCTACTGGCTGATTCCAGTGGTCCTCCGTCCCACCCATCTCTCCAAAGCACCAATTTGTGATGCAGCTGTTAAGGCCTTATGTTGAAGGCTAGGTGTCTTTCCAGCCTCTTCCCATCCCATGACTAGTTGGGTTCATGTTTTCTCCCATGGATTTGTAAAAATCAACTGTAGAGGTCCCAATCACTTTTAGTAAATTCTTTAGTACAATTTACATAAATGGAAGGCCCAACTTTGTAAAGTTGAGATCTCCCTGTTATTGAATTGATAGTTAAACTAGTAATAATTAACATTTGTTCACCAATTAATCTGCCAAGTGAAGTTATTTCGTCCTCAAGATGGCTTTTGAGGTGTAGGGACTATCATATTTTACGTGTAGGAAAAAAATGACTCAAAGAGGGAAGACAACTCAACAGCAATCATACTTCCAGAAAGTGGTAGAGCTGGGCCTTGAACCCATGATCTTATGATGCCAAAGATAGTCTCCCAACCACCGTGCTATTTGACTGACAAGCAGAGACTTGCTGACTGCCATAGATTAGAGCATGTGGTGTATAAAGATGGAAAATCATGCATATCTCTTTCTTTAATTAAATATGGAGTTCTTCATTTAGAAGATTAAAAATAAAGGCTCTAGGAGCCGGCCCCATGGACGAGTGGTTAAGTTCACATGCTCTGCCTCAATGGCCCATGGTTTCATCGGTTCAGATCCTGGACGTGGACCTAGCACCACTCATCAATGCTGGTGGCATCCCACATAGAAGAACTAGAAGGACCTACAACTAGAATATACAACTACGTTCTGGGGGGCTATGGGGAGAAGGAAAAAACGAGGAAAAATTGGCAACAGATGTTAGCTCAGGGCCAATCTTAAAAAAATAAAAAAATTAAAAAATGCTCTATGTTTCCTTTTAAGTCCAGCTTTGAAAGCAGTTTGAAACCAGAGCATCTGATACAAAATATCCAAAGTGTATGCATCGAACATAAATCAATCATTTGTCTGCACCATGTGCCATTGTATATTTGAGCCTTCTGTATTTTGTCCTTCCTTCAGTAGCTAAAAACAAGTTCTTAGATTTTTAAAAAGACATTTAAAATTATATATTTCCCAAAATATAATGTTTGCTTTTTTGATTCATCCCCTCTTGCTTTTCTTGAGATCCTTTTCTTCTTTTTATAACTTCTTTAATTTCAAGATTAAGTTAAACTTTTTTCATTAATTAACAAAATATTTTGGATGAAGTATTTCTACCCAATCAATACAGTATGTATTTCTCAGTGTTTCTAGTATGGTAATCCTGTATCGTTTATACTATTTTTAATAAAATATTTAAGAGGTATTTCTAAAGTTTCCTGTTTTGATCCATTTTGTAATTAATTAAAATTTACATTATCTCATCATGCTTAGATATTTTTGTTTGGAGTATTTTTATTTCTAGGAGTTAAGTTTTTCTTCCTTCATCTAAACATATGGTCGAATTTTATTACAGACCATAAACTGTAAAATATGTACACAGTTTATGCAGAAGATAGATTGGATATCTATCAAACAGATCCACTACACGCATAATGTCATGTGGAATATCCTTATGAATAATTTTCTCTACTTGAATTGCTATAGTCTGTGAAAAGTGAATCAAGGTTTTTAGTTACACTTAAAAATTTCCCTTATTTCATACTGGTTTTCTTTTATGAGGAGGAATGTTTATTTTCCTCTGAGATTCACAACATTTTGTGGCATCTTTAAAGTTAACTCGTTTAATTCTTTTTATCATGAATCCAGGCCTGTTGGATGATAACTGCCTGATCCAGCAGAGGTTTAGTAGAAAACCTGAAGCGATCACAAACATCAAAGAAGTTAGGTGTGTCCACACGCCGCTCAAAGCCCCGGATAAAGATTGTTTTTCAAGTGGTCTTTAATAAAGCTATATGATAGAGGCAAAGGCAATTTATAAAATTTGTACCAATAAATAAAATGGAGGCCTATCTAACCAATTTCATTAAGGCTAGAAGAATCTTGCCAACCATTAGGAAAAGACAAGTGAAAAAATGATTTTTGTCCCATTCCACTTACATGTCCAGATGAAATCATTGTCGTATCATGGTAGCTAATGGAATCCAATTGGGTACTAAAAAGAAGAACTTTAAGATTTATTCCTGGATCCAAATGCTGAAAGAAAAGCAGAAATTCTATGATTGCTTCTTGGGTGAATTATTCCAAACGTTTAAGTTAGAGAAATTAGTAGTTCCCTAAAAACTGTTACTTCCCAATTTGTTTCGTGAAGCTAGCATTATTACTCAACGCCGTACCTGATAAAGACATTACGAGAAAAGAAAACTACAAAGCAAAATCCCTAATAAACATAGGCACAATAATTCTTAACAGCATTTTAGTAAATTAGATCCCATGATATCTACTAAGAATCATCCGTTATGACCCAGTGAGAGTATAAGGAATTCAAGTTTCACATAACATTCAAATATCAATCAATGTAACTCACTCTAGTAGCAAACTAAATAAGAAAAACTGTATGATCATCTCAATAGATGTGTAAAAAGCTTTTTAGAAAGTCCAAAATACTGTACTGTTAAAATTCTTAGCACAGTAAGACAGAAGGGAACTTCTTTAACTTGATAAAGGCCATCTGCAAAAAAACTACTGCTTGCATCATACTTTGTGGACAAAGAGGAAATGATTTCCCCTAAGATCAAACAAAATGAGAATATCCATTCTCGGCACTTCTCTTCCACCTGTACTGTGAGCTCCATAAAGTGAAATAAAAGAGGAAAAATAAGCGAATATAACTCAGATTGAATAGAAAAAGTAAACAGTGTTTATTCACAGACAACAAGATCATCTATATAGAAAATCTGGTGGAAAATTAAGAAAAAGAAAAGCTAAACTTATGAGTGAGTTTAGCAAAGTTGCATGATCCAAGAGCCACATAGAATAACCACTGGTGTTTCTACATCCTGGGAAATAATCACTGTGATATGAAATAAATGTAAATGAAATAAAGTTAAATGATAAATTGTTAGTCTAAAATGTAACTATATATTTAATTTAATTATTCAATTACACAATTACATATTAATTACTTAACCTATGAAATTATTAAATGAAAATTAAATTATTCTCATTAGAATTGAATAAAATATGATATACTTAGAGATAAACTGATAAAAGATGAACAACTCTTGCACACTGAAAAGTACAAAATGATGCTTAGAGTAATTAAGGAAGACAAAAGTGGAGACATATATTTTGTTCATGTTTTTGCAGGTTCAACATTGTTAAGATGTCACTTCTTCCTAAGGATGTTATTAATTCAGTGCAATTCTAATCACAGTCACAGTAAGCATTTCTTTGTGGTTTCTTTTTTGTTTAAATTGAATAGCTCATTCCAAAATTCATGTAGGAATGCAAAGGACCTGGAATAGAAAACTGCTGAAAAAGAACAACAAATCTGGCAGAAGAATCTTAAGTGATTTCAAGTCGTTTGATAAAATTAGAGCAATAAAGATAGTATACCATTTTCATAGAGATAAGCAAGTAGATCAATGAAAGAGACTAGAGTCCAGAAATAGATACACACACCTGGACAAAGGTGCAAATGCAAATCTATGGAGAAAGAAAAGTCTTTTCAACAATAGGCTGGGATGTTTGATATTGATGTGTAAAAAAATAACTTTAATTCATAACTTGCAGTGTATACAAATATTAACTCAAAATATCTAACAGGCCTCAGGAATTCAAAAATTAAAAAAAGAGTGATAATTTGGACTTCCCCCAAGTTAAGAATTTCTGCTTTTTGAAAGACACTCTTAAAAGAATGAAAAACAAGTCACATAGCGGGTGTAAACATTTGCAGCTCATATATCTGATAAAGGACTCTTCCTCCCTAGAATACGTAAAGAACACTCAAAAACTTAATAAGAAAGTCAACAACCAATTTTAAAAAATGGGCAAAATATTTGGACTGAAGCTTCACCAAAAGAAGATATATGGCTTTCAATTAGTATATGAAAAGATGTTCAACATCTTTCCACAATGGAAAGGCAACTTAAGAGTGGAATACCATTACACACCTATTAGAATGAACAAAATTTAAAAAGACTGGTCATGTCAGGTATTTTCAAAGATATGGGGGAACTAGAACTCTTATACGTTGCTAAGGAACATCCATGAGGGAAAATATTTTGGCAATTTCTTAAAAGTTAAATATACGCCTACCATATGATCTAAACATTGCATTATTGGGTATTTATCCAAGAGGAATGAAAGCACATAAATATACACAGGTAAATTTTCATAGTAGCTTTTTTTGTAATAGTCAAAAAATGGAAAGTATCGGAATATCCATCAACAGATGAATTGGGTAAACAGACTGCAGAATATCCATAAAATGGAATACTGATCAGTAAAGAAATGAATTAACTTTTGGGGCCAGCCCAGTGGCATAGAGTTAACTTCACATGCTCCATGTTGGCAGCCTGGGGGTCCACGACCTTGGCTTTTGGTCATGGACCTACACACTGCTCATCAAGCCATGCGGTGGTAGCGTCCTACATACAAAACAGAGGAAGATTGACACAGATTCTAGCTCAATGACAATCATTCCCAAGCAAAAAGGGGAAGATAGGAAACAGATGTTAGCTCAGGGCCAATCTTCCTCACCAAAAGAAAATATTAACTTTTAAGATACGCAACAATATGGATATATCTTAGAGTAACGTGTCAAATGAAGGAAGCCAGTCAAAAATGAGTACATACTATATGATTCCAGAAGTTCAAACTAATCTATAGTGTCAGGAAGCTGAGGGGTGGTTGCGTGGGTAAGGCAGGCCATCAAAAGGGGCGCAGGAAACAGTTAGGAGTGATGGAAATGATCACTGTCTGAATTGTGGTTTTGGCTTCATGGCTGTGTAAGGACATCAAAACTGGTAAATCGCAATCTTTAATTATGCACAGCTTACTTTATGTCATTTATGCCCTGATAAAGCTGTTAAGCAAACATGTACTGATAATGCATGGATCATATTCTGTTTAGGTTGGTGGGTCTCAGAAACCCATCTATATTCATCGGAGCACATTTCAATCATGCCCTACTGAGTAGTGGGAACCTAGACTGAACTTTTTTCTCCTGACTTGACCTCAGGCCGAGAGAATCAGCGTCTCAGGATGCTTGTATGGCACACACTCTGGGCACTAAGAGGAGGTTGGGGTCCCACCAGTAGGGCTTGGAGGGGTGTCTTTGCCTCACTCAGTCTGAGCCCAGTAGGAAATGACCATGGGATCAGATCAAAGGGAGGGCATGAGAGGGACAGTGGACCATGAAAGATGTTGACTTCTTTCTTCTCCCTTGAAGAAAATGGAAGATAGTAGAAAGCTAAAGAAGGGACAAAACGTTCCAAATTCATTGGTCTGTTATTGCAGCTTCGGTGCACACCTTTGAGAACTCTCAGGGGTATTTGATGCAAACACAGCCACACACTGATGCACACTCACATGCACTCACACACCCAACAGAGAACTTATACACGATGTGTTGCTTCTTGGTTTGTGTTGAGCAGAAAATATAGCCAGTTTATTTCTGGTACCCTGAACAAGACATAGAAGGAGAAAAACCCAGTCAGTACCAGATCTCCATCCTGTAGACCTGGGGCTTTGGGAATTTAGAACAATTAAAAAATTTAATATTGCACAGAATGGGTAAAAGCCATAGGGTCAGAGTCACATAAATCAGACAGAACAACACTGCAGGGTCTGTCAAAACAGCAACTAATTCCTGCGTCTATGGTGAGCTGAGAAGATAAAGGAGATGAGAGGGACTGCAGGCTCACTTCTCAGCAGGGAAAATTTCTCTTTATGTGGGGCACAGCATACACACTATCATTCTGCCTCCAGCCTGTGGAATCAGTGGGCCATGGGCCAGGCTGATCTCTAAGACAAGGACACAGTTAGGAGCAGCTGTAAGTAGAAAGGATGTACTTATGTGGGAGTCACAGTGCTGAGACCTCACCTTCTGGGACAATGTGATCAAAGCAGCTTTCTACTTCCGCTTGTTTCTACTGCTTCACTCCAGTCCCACTAGGAGCTCTGGGAATCCCTCTGCCCTGGGGCCTCTCTGTTTCCACCCTGGTAGAAAGTGCTTTGGAAAAACATGTTTTGGATTCTCCATCTCCCCTGGCATCTATGACTTCCTCAAGTTCTGTGCCCAACAGGGCTCCAGGGACCACCCCGTCCTGAGATAGGTGGGTCCACAATCCTGTGCATGTCCCTGCAAGTAGCTGGGAGTTGTTGTGGAAAGACAGCTCTGAGGGCTTTGGCAGGGTTAGAAAGTGTCAGTCTTTGAATCCACACTCATTCCATTCCATAATTCTACCCGATGCTTTAAGTCATTGGTGATGGCTTGTGCCACCCCCGGAAGGTATTTATTACTATGTCCCAGCTTTTCTAGGATCCTGCACCTGGCACTCTGAAATTCTCCTTATCCAAAGGGACAGAGTTCACCTTGGATTCTATATGGACCCAAGATGAGTATATAAGGACATGAGGGGGACAGCTGACCCTGAGAATGACCACCAGTGGTCCCCTGCAGGTCTCCTCCACTTTCTGCACTTTATTCCAGATTTTAATAATCCAACCACTTCGTTTTCCCTTTGACTTAAATCTGCCAATACCATGCAAAGTCTGTTTTGTTCCAGAATCTCTCTTTAGTGCTGGGGCTGCGAAGAGGAGCTCGGCACAGTCACTACCCTCACAGATCTCACTATCTGGCGAGAGCATTAAAAAAATTCCCTCCTTCCTTTATCCTTTTTAGGTAAAGCTGGTCCAGGAAGGTGGGCTGTATGCCCTGTTCAAAGAGGCGGAACCCCTTGCAGCAGCACCAGGCACAATATTTTGTCGTCTAGGCTAGATTTCTCCATCCTGAACACTATGGAGGGAAATCATTTCCTCTTTCTCTTTCATGTGCCTCATCCTCCTTCTCTGTACTTTGACACCAGCATCCAAACCACATGCAGAAAATTATCACCAGAGTCGAAACACCACAGATCCTAAATCCCCTTTATGTTAAGACCCTCACACCAATATTGTGATTCAGTGGTAACTCCTGACGTCACCTTTTTCCCTGAGACCCAATTCCCACCCTGCCCTTGACTTATAAGAAGGTGCCAGTGGGATTTCCTGGGGTCTTCTCAAGCTGGAAAGAAATACTTTGGAAAGATCTCTGTGTTCAATACATACGAGGAACAGAAGATTTTAATAGAATTAAACTCAGGTGTGTATGTCTGATAATTTTTACTATCTGGGTATTTTTCTTTGTTATACATAAGATTATTGGATATACCATGAAAATGAATAACTTGAGGAAATATGACTGATTAACATGAAAGTTTTTCATAGTGTGAAGTGTATGGAGAGAGCAGTTCATAGTTAAGAGCATGGAATAAAGAACTAAATGGCTTATGTTCAAATTCTACCTCCATCACTTACTAGATAGGGGACCCTGGGTATGTTACTTATCCTGTTTTTGCCTCAGTTTTTCCATCTGTCTATTGGTAATGTTAGGAGTAGCTGGAGTGTGAGATTATTCAGAGTATTAAGGGAGTTAATATTTGAAAATGCTTGGGACGCATGGCGTATTACAAGGTTTATATCCATCCATGATAAATAAATTGAAAAATACTCTTTCTACATTGGAAGTTCCTGAGCATGATGACTAGCCCTCTACATTAAGTGCACATGTAGAAATGACTCCATAACAACAGTAAGTAATTGAATGAACTCCATCGTTGAATGCGTTGCAATTATGCTAATCTGCACTAACCATGCGTCTCTGAGATGAGGAGCTGGGTTAGACCAATTAATTTAGATTGGCAGGAAACTTTTCAGTGGTTTGAGGCTATAATGTATATGTAGTATACATATACATATATATATATGTATAATGTATATGTATATGTAGAATCTTCTGGGGGAGGGTTGGGACTCCTTGGGGTGAAGGTGCAGATGGTTGTCAGGGTCAGCTGAGCCTTTTTGAGAGGAAGGCAAGGAGCACTAAGCTGGGGACAGAATCCTGCAGGAGCCCAAGACTTGGAAGACGAGAAGCAGAGGAGACACAGCCAAGAGGCTCAGACAGAACAGTCAGAGGCAAAGAGGAGAAACTTGGCTGTCCATTTCACTAACTGGTCCTCCTTCTTAGAAGACTCTGGCTCAGATCTTTGAAGGATCGATTTGATATTAGAAAATCAACCTTTATTTTTTGAAAGTATACATGTACATAGTGTTTAAAAATATTACTCTACAAGGCTTATAGGAGAAGCAGAATCCCTTGTTCTTGCAAAATCACAAATGGCAACAACGCCACCTCATATACCTAAATATTCAAGCTCACAAATTCCCAAATAAAGTGTATCCCATTGTCCTACTGGACAAATATATCTTTATAATGGCCCCCAAGACAAGGTTTGGATGTGGAATTGTAGGTTCTGCAGGAACTGCCCCAGAATGTGCTG